TGGTTATTGGCTTGTATTTTATGCAAGTCTGATTAACATCACTCACAGACCACACTTTGAAAATGGGACCAAGGTAGTGGGTGGTTGGGATGGTGTGAGCCCCGTTGTAGACATCTGAGGAAAAACGCTCTGACCCTTGACAGCGCTCTAGGCGGCTTCCTTCCCTTCTGGGGCAGCTTGTTGCCTACAGTCCCCGGCCTCCCCGGAAAGTGGGTGGTACCTTCCATTGCTAGACTGTGAACAGGAAGTGTGACAAAACTTTGTCGCAGAATTAAAATGTTAGTGAAATTCCCTTGTAAAATGCTATATGCGTCTATATTCACTCAGGAAACACCATCAAATACCTACTGTGCAGCAGGTACTCTTGGCTTGAATGACTTGGCTGAATTGTCATGACAACTCTGTGAAGTGGCCGACGTTCCTGTTTTCCAGATGAGAAAACTGAGGCTCAGAGAATGTATGTGACTGGCCCCCAAAGGTGCCACAGTCTGGACTCAAATCCATGATTTTGCCTTTGCGCTGCCCAGCTGGTGTGATTTGGAAAAAAAAAAAAAAAGAGGGGAGGGCGCTGTGTTTAAAAATCTCTGATCTCACTTTGTAGGAGCTGTTGGAAGCATCAGAAAAATCTTTTCCCATTTTTTTCTCTCTATTGAAATCTGTTCCACTTTCAAAGTCTAGTTCAAATACCAGGTCCTCCGCAGAGCCTTCGCAGAGTCCCTCAGACCTAATTCATTGCTCTTTCTCTTGGGAAAGATGGCAGCAGGTTGCTTCTGTCTTTAGCATTCACATCACCCTAACATGTCATGATGAAGTTTTTACATTTTTGCCTCCCTCACTTGGGTTTTGTTGGTCTTCCTGATCCCACTGTGCAGGGCAACTAGGTGCTCATTAAATGTTTAGTGAAATGAACTCAGTTGTAGGCGCCCCCCCAGGATGTATCTCTTAATAGCCCTTCAAGACAGGGCCCCTGCACCCAGGGAGGGGGAGATGAGGGAACTCTTTGATCTCGAGAGAATAGAAGGTGCCTGAAGGCATGCTGGAGCTGGGTAGAGGTGGGGTGGGGTTGGAAACTCCATTTAGGACTCAGGTACCCCTCCGAAGTTGCTGGGTGGATTTCCTGCCTTCGGGTGCTGGTAACTGACCAGGATGAGGGCCGGTAGGTCACCATCTTCACTCTCAGGGGGGATGGGCATTCTGTGTGTCACCCAACTCCATTGCTCCCATGGGGGTCATCTAGGTCCTTGATGACAGTGCTTGGGAACAAGAAGGGCAAACCAGGGTGGGAACGTGAGCAGGGATCTGAGGCCTCCTGGAACCGTGTCACCGTGTAGGGAGGGGGTGGGTGGGGCTTGTTTTCCGGTGGTTTAGTGGCACCTCCTCCATCTGCGTCTCAGTTATGGAATTTTTCCACCCCGAGCCACTCTGCCAGGCTTATGATAAGACTGGTTTGTGTGTGTGTGTTTCTTCTTTCCGTGTCGGAAAAACTCAGCTATTCCAGGCAGATTTGTCAGCAGCTTTTTCCCTCAGCTGGAGGGGAGGCTCCAAGCCACAGCCACGGACGTTCCAGCGCTCAGCCAGCTCCGGGCCCATCGCTATGGCAGGAGGCCATGGACTGGGGCTGTGACAGACCAGTCGCCTGGATGACCTCCCAGGCGGTCCCTGCTCCCACCCCAGCCTATTAGAAGCACACATGTGCAAGTGCACACCTCCTCCTTTCTGGGTCTTTGTTTTGTTCCTCTTATTTCTGCTCCTTGGCCCCCTCATGGTCTTTCCTGCTTTCCCTCTGTATCTGGCCCCTCCTGTCCATCCTTCATCCTTCCCTCCCACCCTCTGTCCTTTCCTCACTCTCAGCTCTTCTTTCTCTCTGTCTCTCTCTCTGGTGAGAGGCTAAGGCAAAGGGCCTGATGGCTTCAAGTGGCGGCTGTAATTCAGAGCTTCCCAGGAAATAAGCTGAAGCTACTTCAGGTCACGCTGGCCTGTTCCTTACCATACCACCTCCCACCGGGGTTGCCTGATTACGGATTCTCTGTGAGATGAGGGAGGAAGCCAGGAATTCCACCCTTTGCAAAGTTGCTGGCGCAGTTTGGAAGTGACACCCAGATGAGCAGCTGCAGCTGCCCCCTGAGGCTGCCCCTGCTGAGGAGGGGCAGCCGCACGCACGAGAAAGTGAAAGGTGGGCCCTGGAGGAGGGGGGCCCCTTGTGTCTGTGCTGGGCACTCACACGTTCTCTGCTGGGCCCTGCAGACTCTGCCTCAGGGTCCTCAAACCTGAGCTTGCAGAAGAATCACCAGGGAAGCGCATCAACAATGCAGATTCCTGGGGCCACATCCTGACCAAAGTGGAATCAGGGGGCACACGGGCTTCCAGAATCTGGGTTTTGAACCCAAACGCGTTTCCAAAGAAGAAATTGAGTAGATTCTGTAAGAGAGGCAAAAACTATTTCCCTGCAGCTCCAGGACACAGAAAGAGGAGCCAGGCTCCCCAGAGTTGCTGCACTCCCCGCTGGGGAGCCGGACGGCCCCTGCTTCCTTCTAGTTAGGTCCTTTTTTAAATAGCTGTTTTTGTTTTGATTTTTAAATATTTTTCTTTGTATTTTCTAGGTGACTGTTTATCTATTAGTTTTTGGGGGGTGGATGAGGTAATTAGGTTTATTTATGTATTTATTTTTGGAGGCGGGGCTGGGGATTGAACCCAGGACCCTGTGCATGCTAATCATGCTCTCTGTCACTTGAGCTCTACCCCCCAACCCTGAGTTAGGTCCCTTTGAACTAAGCTATGGACTCTTTCCAGATATTGGTGACGGATCTGAGCCACTGACTGCGCCTGTCTGAGACAAGGGCTCCTGTTTCTCTAGCCGCCCTGCCCGGCGGTCCCAGCCACAGGAGGTGGGGCTGGGAGGTGGGGTGTGCAGAGAACCAACGTGGTATCTCAGGCCCCTTGTGGAAATACCTAATCTATTCCTACCCATACCTTTGAAAGATACCATCTCCATTTTACGAGTGAGGGAACTGAGGCATATGGTTTCAATCCACCCTCCACACAGGCACCAAAGAGTTGTATCTTTAAAATACCAGTTGGACTTGACCGAAAACCTGTTTCTGTGGTTCCCTGAGGTAAATCTCAAGTTCCTTCGTGTGGCCTCCAAGCAGCTTTTGGGTCTGGCTCCTCCCTTCGCTCCACGCCCACTTCCCACTTCAATCTGCTCTCCGGGGACACGAATACCTCTAGTTCCTTCCGTGCCTGGGCTGGTGCCTTCCCACTGCCGGGGATGCTCTCCGTGCCTCTCTGCTAGGTAGCTCTGCCCACCTACCAAGACCGCACGCTGGAATCTCCTGACCCCCTCCCGGGCACCCTAAGCACCCCTCCCCTGTGACGGCGGTGCCACAGTCCTGCACCTGAGCTGTGCATCCCTGTCTCCACACATTCCTGCGATGCTCAAGTGCCTTCCCCCTTCAAGGTGAGTTTTTCAGGGACAGGCATGGCATCTACATAGTTCCATCCAGCACCTCGCCCGGGACCTGGCACACTGCAGGTGCTCAGTTCACGTCTGAGAAACTGACCGGGCTCTTCATCTCAAGTGTCACGTTAGGAATCACTACAGAGAATAGAGGTCTCAGGCACCTGAGGGCCTTACAAGGTTCTGGAGGGCCTGGACAAGGTCGTGGACCTTGCTCCAGTTCCTCACTCCTTCCTGAGGTGAAATCCGCAGGAAGCTCTGCAGAACTGCGGATGGGGGCACCCATGTCAGTGGTTCTGCAGCACAGGAATGAACTGAAGCCTGTGAGTGTGTCCCCTGCCGGGCTTTGCTCATGAGATCGTACAGGCCAGATCGAATCATTCCCCAAAAATCTGCACTTGGCTTTCACGGATCCCCTGGCTCCTTTGCTGAGCTCCACCAAGCATGTGGGATCCAGAGGTAGCCACAGCTGCCAGGGAGAATCCACTGTGGGACTTCCCTGAAGGGCCATTGAAGAGCCAGAAGTGTCAGCTGTGAAGTTCATGCAGGCAGAGCAGACCAGAGGCCCAGAGCCCAGGGCTGTCAGGGCCACAGCTGGTTCTTGGGGCCCCGGAACCTGAACCCACTGGACTGAAGTTACCCTGATAGCACACCTGAGGCCACTTGGGCCCCATGCCAGCAAACCCAGCAGCCCTGCCCCAGGTCTTTCCATCGAGCCCCAGCACAGAGGATGTCAGACTCCGGGACCCAACCTTCCTCAGCTCCGCCCCGCTGGGTCGTTAGGCAGACAAGCCTCTGAGGACGCGGAGGCTCCAAAAACATGTGCAGGAGGGATTTCTAGGGTGATTTGGGAGAAAGCAGAATGTCGTCTTCATGCTTCAAAACCCAAAGTAGGGCTGCTCCTCTTCCCCCCGCCCCGCTGGGGCTACTCTGCTGCATCCCCACTTCCCGCAACCGGAGGTCAGGCGGGTAGTCCAGCGCTGGTTACGGGAACACGGGACATGCTGCATGGGAAAGACTACATTTGCACAAATCTGCATGCCTCACCCAGGCAGCATTCTAGCTTTTAGGCAAAATGGAGGAATGTTCAAAACGGCCCATAGCGGTCTCACCCGACACTTAGCACACACCTTATCTATGTTTTGAACAGGGGTGGGGGTCAGGGGAAGGAGTAGGTACTTAGATGGTGGATTTGAGGTTAAAAATCACAAAGACAGACCCTTCTCCCCAGGCTCCAGGCCCGGCTTCCTGAAAGACAGGGAAAGGCAGGGAGCGGAAGAAAGGAACGGAGAGGTGAGCCTCCTTCACCCCACCACCACCAGCAGGAGGCCAGCTTCCTTGGGCTCTTCCCTGAAATCAGGGCTCATTTCAGGGAAAGGCAGGAATCAGGAAGTGACCGGCCCTGCCTCCATTTCCCAATCCTCCTCACAGATCCCCACCCGGTCCCGCTTGGTTGCCAAGCACACCCAGCTGAGGGCCTCCCCCGCCTCCCAGCCGCAGCCCAGTGACAGCCACTCAGACATAGAAAAGAGCATCATGCTTATTTCACTTCGTGAAGGTGCAGGCCTTTATTTCTTCAGAGCTCTCTGGACTTGTGGGCCTATGCTAATTGGCATGGCTGCTGTTGACACCGCTGCCTGCAAACCCCAGAACCTGGTGGTGCCTCAGAGAGAGGGAGGAAGGGTCCCCACGACACTGGCACCTGCCTCGGCCACCGTCCTCTCAGCCTTAGGCTCAGCCAGACCCAGAGGAGAGAAGTCAGGCTCCGTCAGGCCTGGGGCCGCGTGTGGTGACCTTCAGGAATCACAGGTGAGGGGAGAGGCCTGTGTGCTCAGCGTGAAACACTTCAAGAGGAAGGAAGACTGAGATTACGCTGTTTGACCCAGCACCCTGGGGAAACCCCAGGGGGCCGCCTCTTCTGTTCCCTGAGGAGTGAAGCCCTATAAACCAGAGGCGGAGGGGCGGTGGGGTGGTGGGAGGGCCCAGGGGGGCCTCTTCTCCCCACAGCCCGGCCAGGCTCAGCTCCACAGGCCAGAGCCACGGAAGAGCTCTGCCCGAGCCTGCGTAGGACACACAGGGCAGCCCAGGAGTGGGTCTGGGGTCTGGGCAGAGGTGGCCTAGTGCCCCGGGTCCTCTGCGCTGCTGCCCGCAGAGAGGCAGCCGAAGGTAATGCTGGTGACATCTCCTGGCCGCCAGCCAGGAGGGAGGTAGGCTGATGAGATGGGACCAGGCACTGCCCTGTGTTGGGTCCCGCAGTGCTGGCAGGAGAGCAGTGTCTGAGTGAGTCTAATGCTTCAGGATGCCTCGTGCACGCCCCAGAGCTCAGATGTCAGGAGCCGATGGGACCCGACTTAACCTGTAACAAAGGCTCAGGTTAGCATCTCCCACCCAGGTGGAGAAGCCTGCAGACCACACCCCAGGGCCCGACACAGTCAGCTTCCAGGAACACGGAGCCAGTCAGGTCTTCGGCTCTCCTCTCGTAGCATCTGTGTCCACCGACAAGAACTCTCTGGTTCTCTTCCCTGACTCCACGTTAGAATCATCTGGGCAGCTTATAAAAATCCCCAACTCCAAGCTGCGCCCAGAGTCTCTGAACCCAGGCATCTGCACTTTTAAAAGCTCCCCTGGTGATTCTAAGGCAGCCAGGGGTCAAGACGAGGGGGAAAGGAATTCCAATTGTTTCTTTAGGCTCTTTGGTTATAGCTCTGAACAAGGAAGTAAAAAATCCTCAGAATAAAATTTTTGAGCTATCCGTAAATAGACTACACATCACAGCAAAATTTATGTCGGCACTAAAATTAGAACTTCCTGCCCGTGAGGGTTGTTTTGGAAAGTCTTTTCAAGAAGCTGTCAAATCTCCTCTTTGAGGGTGTTTAAGAATGAGACATGGGATGCCTCCTCCACCCAAGGACCCTCTGAAACTCTGGGGACAACCATGAGCTCTGGGCCCATCTCCCCTACCTCCAGGGCCTGATTCTAGGGCCCCAGACTGGCGTGACCTCTGGGGAACACCTGCCATTTAGTGAGCCCTGCCTTCACGCACCCTCCCCTCCCCAGCTCACTGCTTATCTCGTCCTGTTTAATCCCTGCATTAACACCACGAGGTCGGAATCACGATGCCGATTTTTCAGCTCAGGGCCGAACAAACCTCCCAGGGTCACGCGGTTGGTAAGAGTGGGAGTCAAACCCTGTTAGAATCTCTGCAGACTCTTGCTACCATGCCGCTGGTCCCCCCGCGGGGGAGTGACAGACGTAAGGATGACAGAGAGGATGTGGGAGGTGTGTGCACGCATGCGTGAGTGCCTATACACACATACACACATATCTATATGGAAATCTGACTTTCAGGGCAAGGACCATCCTTGCTTTTGACATTATGTCCTTCCTTCTCTTTGGTGATAAAATGTGCCTTGTAAAGTGGGACTTCTAAATGGCAGAGTTTTTCCCCTTTCAATTGTGCTTTCAATTGTGCTTATGAGAAATTGGCCCCTCTGTTATTCTCCAGTTTTCTTCTCTGAATTTCACTGGTGCACAAAATCCAAAAGGCTGAGCCCTGCTGCAGCGCCCAGCAGCCCTCCGGTATGCTCACCCCCCTGAGGAAGGGACTCCAATCAGGTGACAATGCAGAGTCCCTAATAGTGGGCCTGCAGCCGCGGGCAGCCCTCCCCAGCTCCGCACTGTGTTTCCTGGACTGTGACAGGCAGACGGAACAGCCCTGCTCCGAGGATGGTGGTAAAGGCTAAAGGAGTCACCCTGGATGAGGCGTCAGACAGTCTACCTTCACGCAGGGCCGGACACAGCCGCCCAGCCACAGGCCCCGGGCCCCCATCTCTGACCACCCCGAGGCCCACGCTCTCCTGACTGTAGTGATAGCCTCGCCTGGTGAGCACGCTGACTCGCCTGTGCACAAGGCTGAAGCTCTGATGCGACTGTTTGGAACATGGACATCTGTCGTCAAACCTGCGTGGCAGGCACGGGGCCTGTCCCCTGAGGCGAGGGCAGCTTGGGGACCCAGCCTCCCCACCCCCAGCCCCCAGCGGGGACTCCTCACCCTTCAATGATGCGGTTGTTGTCCTGGAGGTCAGACGACAGCAGCTTCATCTCCTCGCAGAGCTCCTGCATGCTGCCCAAGGACAAGGCCAGAGAGGCGGCTGTGGCTAAGGCCAAAGTTGCTCTGCCCAGACCCCTTCCCGGGAGGCCCACCCTTCTCCACAGCCCCACCGGGCCTCTGTTCCTTGTTCCTGCCTCTGGTGCCTAACACACACACACACACACACAGACTCACACAGACACACACACACACAGACTCAGACAGACACACACACTCACACACACCCCCACCCCGGCACTCACTGCAGAGTCAGCTCCCTTAGTGCAGGGCTGGGATAAGGGGCTGCAGGGGGCGATGAGGCCCCAGCCCCCTGTGTTCTGTCCTGGAGGAGCTGATGCGATAGCCGGTCAAGGATCTGGAAAGAAACACACTTTAGTCAGAGGGGACAAGCCAGCTCACACGGTGGGGGCAGCAGGGGTGTGGGGAAGGGTGAGACAGGGGTAATGAAGTGGTCCCTGGCCCACCACCCGCATCCCTGGGGTGTCCAGAACACTCAGGCCTTTCCCACAAGCCCCTCCTTCTTGTCCTGGGAGCACAGCCAGCACAGCCACCGTCCTGTCTCTGCCTGTGTTTAGGGGTCCAGGCTGCCGAGCCCCCTTTGTGTCTGACCTGTACCTGTCATGACACAGGATGAGCCAGGAGCTGCGGAGAAGGGGTGCGGGCAGCCCAGGCTCTGAAAGAATGTGTCCTATGCGGGGAGGGGAGGAGGCGCCATGTGGGGCTCTCTCCTCGAAGGACAGCCCTTCTCTGTCCCTGTTGGCAAAGCGGGCAGCGTCTCAGAACTGCCTGTGGGTTTGTCTCTTTGCAGAGAGCAGATCAGAGGACCAAGAAGGGGTCACACGCCCCTCAGGAGTAGCGCTGGGTCATCAGGAAGATGTCCCAGCCTTCGGGCAGCTCTGCCCTTGCAGCAGCCGTCAGTCTGAGAACACTAGGAAGTGCCTCCCACGCTGGCGGGTCAGAGCCCTCCCACCCACACCAAAGCGCTTGGGCTCGGTCAAGGGCAGCTCTGCCCCGGGGCAGGGGTGCAGCCCGGACGCCCCCAGGAGCCTGATTGCCCTAGGCAGCCCCAGAGGCTCCTAAAGCTCCCTCACCTTGCTGAGGCTCTCCTGCGCTCCCTGGGCTTCGGTGTTACAGGCAGCCACAGAACAGCCAACCAGGCGCAGGTGGTTCCTGGTCTCATGCACCACCCTCGAGAGAGCAGAGAAGCGTCAGAGCCGGGCTCATTCGCTCTCAGCTGCCCACCCAGCAGTTTGGGTCACCAGACACAGAGAAGAGCTTTCCGGGCGGCAGAGGCTGGAGCTGGTGGGTCCCAGGCACGGGCCTCCCTCAGTGCCTCTGCCTTTCCAGCTGTGCCCTCACTCCGTCCCTGTCCCACGGTGATGACCACTCTGACCCTGGCTGGTGCCTGTCTGTGTAGAAGGATGGGGGGGAGCTGTGAACATGCCTGTCTCGGGCCGGGTCACACCGGCCAGTCAGGGGGAGCACTGGCCCCGGTCAGGGAAGCAGAGACCGCCTGCAGTGGGGCACTTCAAGTGGGAACTGCCCACGCTCCCGTTTCCAGAGCAAATCAAAGTCAAGACTGTGTTATGAATTCTCATCTCTCTCTGAGAGGAGGGAATGAGCCAGGTCCTGGATGAGGGAATCAGTGGTCATTCTCAACCCTGGCTATGCATTAAATTGCCCGGAGGAGGTTTTAAAATACTGACATCCAAGCCCTGCTCCAGAACAGCTGAATCAGAACTGGGGGGTGGGTTAGGGTCGGGGAGCCAGGCATTGCATTTTTTTTTTTGGCAGGGGGAGGTAATTAGGTTTATTTATTTATTGTTGGAGGTACCAGGGATTGAACCGAGGACTTCCTAGGACTTCCTTGCTAAGCACACACTCTACAGCTTGAGCTATACCCCCTTCCTTGGGCATTGTCTTCTAATGTTTGTGTGGGAGAGTGTCTGGGTCTCAACCCTGTAATGAGCCCACAGGTCACATGGGCCTCAGAATCAGCAGCAGCTGGGAACCTGCCCGCTCATCTCAGGATGCTGCAGGGGAAGGAGGGCGGGGCTTGTCTGAGAGGGAGAACCCAAAATTCCCATAGGCAACAGTGTGAGAGGGGGTTCTATTTAAGGGCCTCTGCCTCCCTCTGCTTCTCAGACCACTTGTCCTCATCCCAGAGGGACCTTGCATTCTCCCCAGTGAGAGGGCTTCCTAACACCACCACCAGGGACCTGGGAAAGAATCCGGATTTTAGAGGCAGTCACACCACACACTAGTCCTGGGTCTGCTACTTACTAGCGGTGTGGTACTAAGGAAGCAGCCTGTTCTCTGAGCCTCAGTTTTCTCATCTGTTAAATGGGGTGACAGTATCCACTGCACAGGGTAGATACTGTGGGATTAAATGAGCTAATGTAGAAATGGAAATCACCCACCAGACTGCCTGGTCCACCCAGGGCCATAAAACCACCCATCTCTTTGCCTTTATTCCTTTATTACCATCTCCCTTTCCACTGGGGCTCTGCAAAGCCCAGGGTGTCTGCAGCTGGGAAGGGCCAGGCCAGGAGTGCCCTGGGGATCATGAGTTCAGTGTTACCTCATCCTCTTGCCGTGTGTGGCCAGCGATGCCTGGTACTTCTGCACGTGCTCCTCCTGGAACACCTGCAGGAGCCTTTTGGCTAAATGACTAAAATTCACCCTGAAAAGACAGAAACCGAGGTAGAGAGATCAGTGGCCAGAGCCACCTGTGCACAAGCCTAGTATCACGCAAATACCCAGTCCCTGGGTCCACAGCAGGTCTGCCTCTCCAGAGGAGGAGGTGATCACCCACGGGAATCGTGGCGATCAGAGAGGCCGGCACACAGCACACTTCAACAGATGGGTGTGGGAGAAAGACAGGCACCTCAGGGAACACACACGCTCTCAAGCTCAGTCCCCAGGAGGAAGGAGAGACAGTCGTGTGTGTGTGTGCGTGTGTGTGTGTGTGCACGCGCGCGTGCAGGGAGTCAGGGTCAGGGATAGAACTCAGGGAGTGAGTCCCCAAATAAGCATTAAATCAGGGAGGGCTTCCTGGAAGAAGGGAGCATCCAGGAGACAGAGGAGCAGAGAGAAGCCCAAAGGAGAGCTAGGCGGAGGTCAGATGCAGGTGGTAAATCAGCGAGGACGATGAGGGAAAGAAATCCTACTTCTGTTCCCACCAGAAGTCAGTCCAGTTCCACCCAGACTGCAGCTGAGAAACCTCCCTCCCTTGGCTGCAGATGACCTGCCCCAGATGTAGTGACCCCACCCCACTTTCCTCCTGCCCAGCTCCGGCCTGGGATGAGGGCCCTTCACCACCTCTTGTCCGGCACAGGGAGTCGCTCTGCCCCGGTGACACCCACCCTCCTGCTGACCCGCCTGGCGGGGGACAGGCCACTCACTTATCCAGCTTGTGAATCTGCTCCTCATTGTAGCCAAGCCCTGCAGGAAAGAGACAGGGCTGAGGTCACTGATTCAGTCAACAAAACCGAACGGCGCAAGGGCTGGGGGAAACTACAGGCGTGAAGGCAGCGGCCTGGGCCCTGCTCCGCGGGAGCTCATAAGACAGCCAGAAAGACGGACAGAGGGAAACAGGCACCCAAAACACTGCATTATGACAAGGCAGGGCCCCCCCGGTGTAGGGGGTGGAGGGATGAGTGCTTGGGGAGATTCCAGGTGGGAAGTGGTGGATGAAATGGGCCTTGAAGGATGTGGTCAGCCCTGACCTCTCACCCAGCACCCTTCCCAGCACGGCTGATGCCTGCAGCCTGTTGACCCCATCCCTGAGTATTCAGGCTGCAGGCAGAGTCAGCTGGGTTCTGCAGCAATGGGCTGGGTAAGCCAGGCCATGATGCTCAACCTCCCCTTCTCAGCCCAGCCCAGAAGGAGAACTTCTGCCAGCAGGGATGAAATTTTCAGTGTCTTGGCAGCTTCCTGACAATTTCTGCACTAGGGAGATGCTGCCCCCTCCCGGGCTTCAAGGGAATGGCCTCCAGTTAGTGGTTTTCTCAAGATGAAGTGGTGAGGAGGATGCCCTTGCTGCCTACTTGGGGTCCACCACTCCCCTGATAGCAGAATCGCCTTTCTGGGCTCCTCGTTCTGGGCCCTGCATTCAGCCAGCTGACTTGTGAAGTCCAAGGGACTTGGGACAAGGCCCAATCCTGCCTCTGATCAGCAGGGCTGTAGGCAAGTGAGCTCACCTCGTCCATCATGGGTAACGTGCGGGACAGGTGTGAGGGGTAAAGTGAGAGAGCCTGAAAATGATTGAGCATTTTCTGGAACGGCATCTTTCAACACCTCGGATGTTGGCAGTTAAGTGTTACTCTTCCTGGTTCATTTTAAATTTTAATAAAGGACCCTTGCAGACCAATAGAAATGAAATTCTTTTTGAGGCTGTAAAATGGGGTAGTTAAAAGCAGCTGGATCTGGATTGCTTGGGCTCCTTAGCCTTCCCGTGTCTCAGTTTCCTCATCTGTACAATGGGGAAGATAACACTGTCTAGGATTTTCATGAGCATCAAATAAATTAAGAACAGGCACATCCCAGACGACGGAGCCCAGCACACGCAGGTGCCCTGCAGTGCGGTGGTTATACGATGGTGTAATTCCAGTGATGGAGACAGAAAAGCCTCAGAAGTTCTCCTAAAGTCACAGCAAAGGTGGCCAGGTTTCCTGAGCTCAGTCCCCGATGGCTTCAGGGAACAGGGTTTCCCCGTCTCCTGTGCTGCTCTCCCTCCAAGTGAGACACAGAGACAGGATTGCGGTTCCCAGGGAGAGAGAGGATTCTCTTCTAAGTCTGTATGTGTAACAGCATGGCTGTGAGAACCTCAAACATGACTGGTACGGCCAGTGTGACTGAGGCCCCGCATTTTCCTTTCAATTCCTCCAGTTCAACTTAAAAACTGAAGCCGTGTACAGTGTTTTTTCCCCATCAAGCACAGCTTTAGTTTGGTAAGCGTACATTTCATTTTGTTAAAAAATCAGCTTCTGATTAGAGATGTGCTGCTAAGCGTAAAATACTCACAGGATCGTGAAGACTTAGCACACAAAAAAAAAGAATGTAAAATATCTCTTTAATAATTTTGTTTATATTGATTACATGCTGAAACGACAATTTGAATATATGGGGTTGAATAAAATATATTATTAAAATCAATTCCACTTGTTTCTGCTTTTTCAATTTTGGCTACTAGTGAACTTAAAATTACAAATGTGCCTGCATTATATTCCTATGGGACAGTGCTTTTGAGGTAATCCTAGGGACAGAAGAGAGCTTTGCGGTCAAGTCCAAGACCTGAAGTGTCGATTTCCTGCACGTTAGGACATGCTGGGGGCGTGGGTGGGAGAGACGGTCGGTTCCTGGAGCGTTAGCTTCCCAACTCCAAGAGTCAAACAGGGGTCCCCCAGGCTCCTGCAGCCCAGCCCTCCCCTGGGTTCAACCCTCCCTCACCCCAGGATGGGCAAGAAGCTTCCAGTCCCTGAGCCTGTGAACGGGCTGCCCCTGCCCAGAGGGTCTTGTGACGGTTGGTAGATAATGCAGGCAAAGTGTCTGCACCAGGGACTCTAACTGGTTTTTCTCCAGATCATTTCTTTCCCAGAAAGTGTGATTCTTTCAAAGACATGATGCCCCGCCCTGCCGCCACGTGACAGCAGGCACAGGTGGAAAGGCTTCATGTCCCCTACTGGTCTGCTGACAGCGACCCTGTCCTAGCCCAGCTGCCCCTGGGTTCCACAAGTACCACCCGCATAGTGAGCCTCCAGCAGCAACACGATGGAGTATTAGGAACAACCAGATAATGCAGGGAAGGAGGAGGAAGGGAGGGAGTTGGGGGGTGAGGGGAAGGAGAGCAGCAGGAGTGTTTTGCTCCCCTCCTCGGGGCTCACCTGGCCTCATCCTGGATTTCTTGAACTGTTTGTAGATAAGATACATCTTGTCCAAACAACACTGAATCTGCTGGATGCTATGGGCAGGAGACAGGGACCAGGTGACACAAGAGTCAAATGGCACAGGTAAAGGGGGAGGCAGGGGAAGGGATGGCGGTGGGAGGAGGGGCGCTGTCTCCCTGCAGAAGGAGCCTCACTGCACAGTTTTGGGGGACAGTCAGGGAGTGGGGGTGACTCTCCTGTGTCTAAGCCTGTTTGAGGCCCCTGCGGGCTGGCCAGCCATCTCTCATTCTTGTATTTATTCTCTCCTTTACACACACACACACACACACACACACACGCACGCGCGCGCGGTATTTAATAAGAGATGAGGTCGAGGAGAAGCCAAGCAGGACAGGCAACAGAAGA